CTCTAATCAAAACAGAAAAGCAGCTTTCACTGGAGTGTATCTGTAATACACATAGATACACTCCTGCTCTCCCCCAGTTATTCTCAACTGAGAATAAATAAAAATCAATTGCTTTGTTTCCAGAAAAAGGTAGCAGTGCCCTCAGGAGTATCCACCCCGCATACTGTTCAGAATAAGGCCCCAGACACATGAATAGAAGGAAGCAGAAGCATATTCACGGAACAGGAGAGGCTTCCTACTTCAACCCCATCTTTCCCCAGTGTCTTTTATGCTTAACCCCACCAGAAATGATTATGCCATACTTCTTGGCACCAGCAGATGATTATAAAGATCAACCCTGAGCTCAGTGCATTTGAAACAGTCCTTTTTCATTTTTTAAGGTGTCACTAAGGCACATTACAAACTCTAGTTTGGAAAACTAAGTTGCTGAAGCGCTTTAAAAATATTTTCCACGGGATTGGCTTTCCAGCTCTTCTTGCTTTATATAATCAGAGTATTAAAATTAGGAGCTTACAATACATGTTAAAAACACCAGCATCTCCAGAGAGGTAGGAAGAAGTGTTCACGTGGGCTTGTACCCAGCTGTACTGCAGATTGCTTGTGGACCTGCATGGTGCCAGCTGCGCTGTAATTAACACAGAGTGTTTGGCAAAGGGAGCGCAGTCACTTGTTCTTGGAAATCATTGCGTTCCCCCCCCAGAGATGGGCTTCGCAAATGGCTCCTGGACTTTTGTTCTTTCGCAAAATCCCATTGTTAGCCTGCTTTCTTACAGGTTATCCACTCAGTCCAAAGTGGAACTTTGTAAAGAAAAGAGAGGCACTGAAGGCTCTCTGTGAGGTATGGAGATGTTGAAAGATCTATTTTCTCCCCCACTACAAAATTTACAGATACAAACTGTGGGGATTTTGTTTGTTTGTTTTGGTTTTTTTTTTGTAGCCAGATGGTAAGACTGAAAATAGGAATGACTATTCCTGTTCCTTGATAGGAACACTATGAGGACGTGGCTTCTGGATAGCTTTTGAGGGTGCAGACAGCCTACTGCTCTACTGTTCAAGGAGCACTAAAAACAGATCACAGAATGGATCTGGTGGGGATGAGGAAACCTAATTATTTGCTGTAATTAGTTGCATCCCAAGATGAGGGGGCTGGATGCTGGAGTGGTGCAGCTCAGCAGCCACACATTAAAGTCACGGAGCCTCCATTGCTTTTTTCCAGCTGGCGGTGTGGTCCTCAGCTGCCTGCTGCAATCACGGATCTTAAACAGACCTGTCTGACAGGGGATGTTCTACATGCTTGCAAGAAAAACAGAACACCAGTGCACTTCCACAGGATCAGAGAAACTGCATTATTCCAAACAAGCCTATTTACTGAACAATCTCCTGGGTCTTTTCTCAGGATGAAAGGATTACAGAGTGCACCAGTGACGTAAACCATACAATAAACTGCCCAAAGTATCTCATTTTTGCAGCTGTTTATTTCTGAAATTTCTGAAAACAATATATTTTCCAAAACCCAGTATCCTCATAGTCCCTGCACGGTTGCATCAGCTCTACAGTTGCCAATTTCTCTGTACAGTTTGCTCTCAAGAGCTCGTTCCCTTTCAGGCATTGCACCTGCATTCATGTCTATGCAAGACAGAAAGGAGATCTTAAAGGAAAGAATGGCCTTCAGGAGACAGGAGCTCAGGAAAAGGCAGGAAAAAAAAAAGGTTCTGAAAATAGGGGACCTAAAAGCCAGAATTGGCTATATGGTATTAGCAAGGCTACAAGGACAAGAGTGATTAAGGAAGCTTCATCTATTCTGCAAGTCAAGTTGCACAAACTATTGATAAGCACCCTGTGATTCACAGGAGAAGGAATCACACTGTATGTCTGCTCACCTGGGACATAAAGTAGCTCCAAATCCTTTTAAGCACACACTAGAAAACCTACCATGACAGCTGTTCCCTCACTCTTGTAGCATTTGGTGAAAATTCAAAGAGATCTCATAATTGACTCAGTCTCCTAATCATGCTTGTCACAGATGGGTGCTACTGAAAACAACTAGTAATTAATTTACAGAAGATCAAGAATAGTGGAAAAACATTATTCATTCAATTAAGATGACTGGGTTTGCTGGCTCTGGAAGCATAACTGCATATTAAGCAGTAGGAGGGGACTTTGTTCTGTTCTTCTTTTCCCCATTTTTCCGTAAGTAAGAGCACACCACATAGATGGGGTCTATGCTCAGATATTCTACTAGCTAGAAGAGACAAGAATTACTTGGAAAGACAAATTTAATTTTTCTCTGAAGTTTTCCTTTTTCCCTGGAGAATGAGCAGTAAAGCTGTTAAAATATGGATGAGGGAATGCAAGCTCCAATCAACTCTATAGAAACCTTGCCATTGATTTCAGTAGGGCTAGAATTTCCATCTTAATGAAAAATGCCTTTTCATTTAGTAATCTAAGAACTGCCTTGGTTTCAGTAATGTTTGGAGGTCTGCATTTTCAAAAGTTACTTATGATTTTAGGTGTCTGGAGAAATCTTGAAGTGCCGGTCACATGTCCCAGGAATGGCACAGCCCTTTACAATAGCACAGTTGGTGGCTGCTGCTTGGACAGAACTTAATTCAGTTGTCTTTTATGGCTAACAGACAAGAACAAAACAAAACACAATGGGCTGAATTTGATACTCATTTGCTCTAGCGTAAATCCAGAGTGGCTCCAATGGAAGAAAGGGGTATTTTTCTGGATGTCTCCCATCTTTAGGCAGGAGTAGAATTTGGTCTGGTGTCATCACACTTCTCATGAGCTGTGGCAAATTAAGATTACTGGGAATTATTTTTCTTTTTCTTTTGTTAATGCTTGGGTGGGTGCTCAGTCTATTGCAGTGTGCTGGCTTGTACAGCTATAAGCTTTCTCTGAGGGTTTTCTTATTTTATTCCAGCAAAACACAACATCCCTGGGCAACTCTTGTTTTCATAACATCTTTGACTGTAAAACTAGTTGTCTTTGGGACAACACTAGCACAGTAATAAACCTGTTGGAATAATAAGTTTCTGGCTGTCAAATGAGAGGTTTGTCCTGAATAGAAATTTGGAGAAATTTGCTCTGGGCGCCAAGCCGGCGGGTAGCTACTTAACATGTGCACGAGGCAGCAAATCCCAGGGGGGATTTTCCCCACCTGCTCGCCCCAGGTGCGCAGGGCATCCCTGCAGAGCAGAGGGAGGCAGCATCCCCCAGCTACCACTGAACCTTTGGGGCTGGAGAGAGATAAAACTTGCCTCAGGAGCAAAAAGAACAGGGGCCACGGGGTCTCCTCAGGCTCCTTTTGCCACTGTTTCTGGTGAAACCGCACAAAACTCGCCCTGTGTTTAGTGACAGGGGAATACAGCCCGCGGGAGTCCCCCAGCTACTGCAGCGGGGCGATGTGATTTCAGGGCACTGCGCTATGCTTTCAGAGCCAGCCTGAAAAACACAGTGAGCTCGGGCACGGCGGGAGGCAGCGGTGCGCCCATTTTGCAGGAAGAGGGAAAAAAATAAAATCACAGAAAATTTCCTGGATATTACTCAGGGGAAGAAACTGCAGTTCTGGTTCCTGCAAACCTCCCATTATGGTGAAGTCAAGCTGCACAGGAGAAATAACCTCACCCTAGAGGGTACCTCTTAGAAAGGAGAAGTTTTCACTTGTTATCAAATGCAATTTGATATGAAAGCACGTCATGATACTGACGCGAATGTATAGGTAATACCTGGTCCCCCAAAGTTGTTTCATTCCCTCCTTTAAAATTTTCATCCAAAGTAAGTTAAGAGCTGCTTTTTAAAGGAAAACACACGCATGCACACATATGTACTAGCAAAGTGCAAACTGCCATTACTCATCCATCAGCTTGGGGAGTGGAATAGAAAGAAATGCACCCTCCTGAAGTCTATTTTCGTATCTCACTTGAGGAAATTGTATGAAATAATCTATTGCTTATTTGGCTTTGAAAGGGTTAATAGGATTTCTTCTCTTTAAAGAAAAGTCCACAGCAAAATAGCAAGTTTTCTGTCACACAGAGCTGATAGGCTGGAAGAGGCTGATCCATAGTTCTGCCTAGAAGATCATCTGTGTTTACTGGTTTCCAGTATTTTTAAGGATTCCTTTATATCAGAGCACTAGGAATTTATCCTAATAGTTCTCAGTAGTTTTCAACCAGTCAAATAAATGTGATTTTGAAAATAAGGACTCTGTGTCCCATCTTAAAGGCTGCTGTTATAAATTACTATTTCAGCAGCTTGTCCAAGCTCCATATTATCATAGTTATGATCTCCAGGATGATTCAGGAGGATATGGGAAATATTAACCCCGGAAAAATTTAGCTGTCTGGGAAAGGAAGAAAATGAAGTGTTTTTGTTTACTTTCCAGGAAGAATCAACAGCAGAACAGTAGTATATTAATAAAGACACCCAGCATAGTTTCCTCTGCTCTTGCTAGTTTACTGAATTTGTCACTATTTGTCAGTTTGTGATCATATTACACAAGTAACATAGGAGAGCTGAAGCACAGCAGAGGGGCTTTGGTTTTGATGAATATTTCAAAAAATAAGGTGTGTCATAACAGATTATACCGTTCCTGTATCCAGCACCTTCTCCTTAGCACTGACTGGTCCTGATGCACCAGAAAAAAGAAGTGACAAAATTACATAATGCATCAGTGTATTCAAAAGTGCTCTAATGCAGTGAGAAATGCCTTTGTTATACCTGCTATTCATCACTATCCCTCCTAAAGCCCGGCTTTTGATCACCACTGTTTTAGCAACTGCTTGCTGTCCAGCAGCACTCAACTCAGTGGCATGTGGTGCATGAGAAAAGTTTGCAAGATCTGAGGCAAATATTGCTCCTTCATCAGCTGCTTTAAGGAGAAGCTAACTGGGCAATTGAATATTAGTGAGCTATAAGACAAAATGCCTTTAGGAGGTTCCTTAGATCCCCAACTCTAGCAGGGCCTGTCTGAGCAGATTTCTGCACTTGAGCCTTACCTCGGTGAAGTTCACGTTAGCTGTACTTGCGGGCCTGAGGTCTTAGTGCAAGAAGAATTATCACTTCTGGCGACTGAGCAGAAAGCACCGCTGCCTTGGTTCCTCAAAGCATTTGTGTGACTGGTTTCCTCCTGCTACAAAGGAAGAAAACTATTTTTACGTACGTCCTGCTCTGGGAGAAGTGACAAGGCTGCAGTTGTTGCTAGTCACTGAGGTATGGAGCGTGTTTGCAGAGAGTTATTCAAGTGCAGTAGGAAGGGCAAGAAATACGTACCGGTGCGCACTAAAGCTAGAGCGAAATCAAACAGCCTTTCCTTCTGTTTATCTGAGGACCTGATGTTCCTATCTCAGGGCAGCTGAAATAGTAATATATATTCAATACTAGCATCATCTCTGGTGAATAACCAACATGCTAATCTGTACCCCTGCATGTTAATATTTAAGAAACGTCAAAATCCGTGCAGACTGCCCTGTTCTCTGAAGCTGCTTATTTCAACCAGAGTCAAAGGAGGGAGGGAAAGGAGAGCAGGAGGGAGAATCTAGTTGGGAAACGATGCTCACCACAGCCTAAAGAGGCAACAAAGAGCAGTTCACACAGAGCTACGGTACAAGCACGTCTAGGCCATTTTCAAACTAGCTGTCAAGGAACAGACAGCTGTGTTTTGTGCTCAAATTGAGAGAAAGAAAAAACCCTACTGTTTAAAAAAAATTCATTTTACCCCAAAATTTGTTGCTGTACTTAACATGTGTTCCTCTATGTGCACAGCAAGTACTTTTTAAGCAAGACTTTTTGCCTTTCACTGTCTTCATTAAAGATCTACCGCGATCTCAGAGAAACAAATACAAACCCTGTATCCTTCCTGTTGATTTCTCGTGAGAAAGCATCAGGCTCTGAATATTGAGCCTGTCATTGGGAAACAGCAGCGAGCTTAATAACAACGTGGCTATTTGCAGTGACACGGGGTCTTTCCTCCACGCGCCGAGCGGGCGCCGCAGGCCACGCTGCCGCCCTCGCCCACGGAAACTCGTCCTGCAGCGAACAGCGCGGAAGTCGACGCGACTTCGTGCCGAGGAAGAAGAGCAGAATCAGTCGCCGACTTGAAGCGTCACAGAAGACCCGGCGGGTGGCGGGGGACGTTTATCGCGTCGGTTTCTCACTCGGTGCGGCGGCCCAAGGACACGCAGCTGGTCGGTGGCGGAGGGTAGACGGCGGCTCCCAGCGCTCGCGCTTCCTTTTTGTCAGCGAATACTTTCAGAAACAGGAAGAGCAGTCGCAGCGGTCACATCAGGCGTGTTCAGGCTGTACGAAGGCAAATAACGTTGTTCTGCAAGCTGCAACCCAGGGGAGCGCCGAAGGGCGCCGATTCCCCCTGAGGAACTGTTTCCGAGTTCCCCTGACAGAGATATTTCCTCCAAGAGGGATCGTGCTCTATAGCCGTCCCTAAGAGTGTAACCTTGCTCAACAAGCAACTTCTCCGAGTTCTCTCTGCTCTGATCTTAAATTAAACTTGTTTTAGCATATTGACAACCAGGTCTTAAACATCACGACAACATACAGTAATTTTTAACGTGACCTAAGCCAAGCTGGAGCGAAGCAGGGGTGGGAGCAAGCTCAAAACTTTAGAGGGAGCGCAGCTCCCAGGCC